ATCTCCTAGACTTAGCATAACGAATACAAATTAATTAGTAATATTAAAAGTCCACAGATCCCACCCTCACCTTATAAATAACGTCCAAAACTAAGTTTGGAAGAAAAGCGATTGAAACGCTACTTCTGGCGGTCTGAAACAATAGCGATTCCAATATGCGTKTGCGTTTTAGAGCAAATTAGGGTTTCTGGATTTTTGACAGACTAAGCATTACTTGACCAGAYAGCAACACCAATAACTCAKTGATRTTTTATCGGATCTGGAAACRYAGACTTGATCTGGAATCCTTGCAACAACACCTTTCCAGAAACACCAGAACCGGGATCAGATACTCTCTGAATCGACAGGAAATCTCCTCCAAAAACCGCTCCTCGAAACTGGAAAACAGATAATTCGGAGACAGCTTTTCTTATGCAGAAACAGCAACGTAGGGCCAAATTCAAATACGATTTGCAAACTCATCTTACCTCGGAATCAGGATCTGAAAGATGCTGTAGAAACCTTGAATCGAGATCTATCCAGYCGTATYAAGAYCGTCGTRTGAAACGTTASGGTTCYTTKGYAAATCGCCCCGCAAYGTCACTGRTCGCAACAMCCTTCCTTTGCTCCTCCTTTCCCTGGTCTTCCCGGTCACCGGAGCTCACGACTGACACACTCAACAGCGGCGGCGGCTAGGTCACGGGTGAAAAAGGGCTGAGCTTCGCAGCAAGGATGATCTCAACTCCTCCCTCTCTTTGGCGTGTCCATTAAATAGAGGAAGAGTGTGGAGAGAGTTAGGGTTTTAAGGGGATATATGGGCCACATGAAATGGGCGATAGGGTTTGGGAGTTTAATTGGGGTAGGGCCATGACACTTTGTCCATGTCGATTCACAATACTTGATGAGGTAGCCTCAAAAGAAGTTTTACTATAGGTAGCAGACCATTCATGAGCATCGACAATGGATTTACTTAAATCTTTTTGCCATTAATAAGCTTTGTTTATGAAGAGATCAAGTCATCATCAGCCAAGGAGCAAGGAATCATGAGAGTATGGAACCGATGAGAGTTAAGGAAACATACGAGCTGTGCTCAGCTCAAAGGGAGATTAAGACCAAGCATCCCAGCACAATAAACACTTGGAATACATACTCAACTCATCTTGAGAACACCAAGAAGAAGAATCATCCCCAAAGCTTTCCATATGAAGAAGTTATTGAAGTTACAATATGGCAGACCACCAATGGACCCGATGGAGACATACAACCACTCATTGAAGTATTCTGACCAAACTAGGAGGAACCAACTAGAAAATCCAATTGTTTTGGATTCTCAACTCATCACAAGCACGGGCAGAATTGGATTCATACTAAAATTCATTATGGTTTAAAAATTATTCAAATTCTAAACCAAAGGATTCTTGGCTTGCCTTATTTGGAAGTTCACAGATTTAAATACTTACAAACAAAACTTTGGTGACCATGGGAGATCAAATCATTTAGGAGACTCACCTGACCATCTAGAAGAGTCAGATATCATCTTCCCATACACCAGCAACCACAAGATCAGGCGGATCCCTTTGTTTTCAAACTTACCATATCTGTAAGTGTTCACACTCGGAGTAACAAAGCACCAACGGCTAGTCCCTCAAAGCTACAACGTTTTGAAGTTATTATCAACATATCAAGTCATCTTAAGCTACACTAGACCACATCAGAACACACAGATTCAACCAAGGCCACACCTTCCATCTTTGGATTCGATTTCCATCAAACCTCAACTGCTCCTTCCAAATCAAGATTGTTGTGCTTTAGGCAAGTTTTATGATGATCAATATGTTCCATCAAAGCTTACCTATCCACTCAAACTGTTCAGAGACAAAGTCAGCATCACCTTCCATAATCTTAGCGATTCCAACCATCAAGGCTCCAATGGCTAGTTATCTAATTAAGACGATTTGTTTCTATATTTTTCCATTAATTAGACTATGTAAACTGAGCACTATATAAGCTCATAGATAGTTCTTGTAAAAACCACCATTCAATCACGATTCAATAAAAGTCTTTGTTTTCTTTTCAAAGTGAATCTTTGCAAAGAGTGTTTTTCTTTAGATTAAAGTATGTGATTCACTTATCTCTATAGAAGCTGCAAGATTAGTTTTTTATTTTCGATTGAAACAATCTATTTTCGTTCACATATTGAGAGTGTCAATCACCACGAATTGAAAGAGTCAATCAAACCATCACCATTCCATCTCCACCTTCTTTCCACCTTCCACGAGTTATTAATCTTGGAATCTTTGATCATTGAGTGATTTTAAGTTGGAGTGATTCCAATCTTATATATATATATTT